TGGGGAACTTCAAACATAAGTGCTTCATGGAGATGATGGCCTCCAAGTCCTCCAGCGCTGGCCGGCCCAAGATCAGGTTGTGGGCGCACTGGAGGTTGACCACCATGAACTCCATGTCAATTTTGGCGTGGTGGGGGCCGTCACCGACTTCCACGGGGAGGACTATCGTGCCCTCGGCGTCGATAGAGTCCCCGGTGAAGCCGGATAACGGGGTCTTGATCGGCTTCAGCAAAGCTCTGTCCAGCTTCAGCTGCTTGAAGGTGTCTAGGTACATCACGTTGACGGAGCTCCCCGTATCGATGTAAGTACGGTGGATGATGGAGTCACCGATCTCACATCGGATGACGAGGGCGTCCCTGTGTGACTCCGTACCCGGAGGCAGATCCTTGTCGGTGAAGGTGATCGCCTCCGTTCGCTGCTTCTTCGGCTGGGGGGGAACGTGGGACACCTCCCCAATGTAAAGGGATTGGGCCCATTTCTTTCTCTGAGTGGCGGAGTCCCCCCCAGTGTTCCCACCTACGATGAGGTAGATGTGATTCCTCTTTGGCGGAGGCTCCTCGAAGTCCTCGTCGTCGCTGAGCCTACCAATCTCGCGCTTCTTCGCAGAGGGTTCGCCCCCATGTTTGCCGGTGTTTACCCAAGTGTTTTTACGTGGGCCACCTTTGACAAACTGGGAGAGTTCCCCCTGGCGAATAAGGCCCTCGATGGCCTTCTTCAATGTGATGCAATCGTCGGTGTTGTGCGACGAGTTCTTGTGGAACCGGCAGTACGTGCCGCCCTGCTGGATGGCAAGGATCTCCTCGGCCGGCCGAGGAGCCTGCTCGATGAGGCCGTGCTTCTCGGCATAATCGAGGATGGTGCCGACCGGGTGGGTGAGGATTACCCCCGGCCGTTCCAGCCTCGGCCGCCAGTGGCGGTCTTTCTTACTCTGTCCACCAGAGCCGTGGCGGCCCTGGGCACCCTGGCCGGCCGGGGACGGACCCGGGGCCGGCGAAGGATTTGTCTTCTTGGGGGGATGGCCCCCCTCTCTCTTGTGATTGTGGAGCTCGTCGGCGTCGGCATACAAGCCTCCGCGTTGGAGCGCCTTGGCGTACGACCTCGGGGGGTCGGTGATGAGGCTCCTGGCGTATGGGGAGCTGCGGAGAGCTCCCTGGTACAAGGCGAGGAGGGTGCGCTCATCGGCCCCCTCGACCTCCTCAGTCTCCCTCGTCCACCGATCGATGAATGACCGGTGGGACTCCTCGTGCTGCTGCTTGACGGAGAGGAGGTGGGTGAAATACTTCTTGGCGCGCTTCCTCCCGGCAAAGTGAGTGAGGAAGCGCTGGGCGAGATCCTGCCACGAGTCAATGCTTCCTTCTGGCAGTCCGTTGAACCACTCGTACGCTGGCCCCTCGAGAGTAGAGAGGAACCAACGACAGAGGTATTCGTCGGACGCGTTCACCATCAGCATGTTGTTCTGGTAACGGCTGAAGTGCTCCTGGGGGTCTGATCGGCCATCGTAGGACTTGATGGCGTTCCCCCTGTACTTCTCAGGGATGGGGGCCGAGAGGACCCTGTTGGTGAAAGGGGTCCTCGTCCTGACCTGGATGATGGGGTCACCCCGCCCTTCGACCAGCTCCCTCTCCAGGGCGCTAACTTTGTTCATGAGCGCGTTGAGGCCGGGGTCGTTGGAGGCGCCGGCCGTAGGGATGTTGGCCGACTGCTTGGCCTCCATCTGAGCCAGCCTCCTTTCCAGCTGGGCGATGACCTCGTCCCGGGGGTCCCTATCGGCCGCAGCGGTGCCCGGCTGGTTCCTCAGGCGCTCGTTGTGAGCCGCGTTGATCTGGTGACGCACGTCATCCTCGTGCAACTTCCCCTTGCCCTTGTCCGGGCGGGGCTGGTCCGCTGTCCGGGACACAGACCCCAAACTTTCCCTTGGCGAGCCAGGACGAAGATCACCAATCCGTCCCGCCATCCTCTCCGAAACCGGACGACGGCGCGTGTCACCTAGCCTATTGAAGGCAGAGGCTTTTCCACGCGCTGGGGTCTGCCCGGGCCGAAGAGGGGAAGCAGGGTGGGAGTGGGACGACGCCGTGTCCTGGGCCACAACCCCCTCATTGTTGCCTATCTGGACGGCCAACGGTTGGGGATGAGGAGGTGGAGTGACGTTTCCCCCGGTCCTTGGCAAGAGTGCGCTGAGGACGGTGGGGTTCTGAGCTAGGCTGGCGATGATGACCGACAACGCGGCCTGGACCTGTGGATCCACGGACGGAGAGGCCGCGGCCATAGGCTGGGCCGGGGCGTGATCCGTCTTTTCAGCTCGCTTCTTGTCTAAGCCGAGGCGGGCATCAGGGGCGCCGCCGTTGAGTTGGTTGCGGATGTCCGTTGTGAGGTTGAAGGCCTCCTGGAAGAGGTCCCCTCCACCGACCTGGTCGGCCGTGGCGTCCTCATCGTGCTCCCTGGGCTCTTGGTCCTCAGGGATGGCTTTGCTGACGAGGTTGCGGTTTGACTTAGTTCTCCCCATGATCAGTGGTTAGCTGTGCTTGGTAGCGACGAAGGGTGCTAACTTGATTGTTCTAGCTCTCAATGAGAGCACCAAATGATAGAGTATATCTAGAGAGAAGTGAGAGCTAGAGAGAGAAGTGCAATAATATGCTTCAATAGAATGATTTTGTAACCCCTATAACTACTCCCAAAGGGAGTATTTATAGAGAAAATTAGGGTTGGGCTCCCAAGCCTTGGGAGGCCCATTTACAACTGGACCGCTACTGGGCCGAATACAAAGCCATTAATGGGCTGTACAAATGAGTAAGTGTAAAATCCGATTCTGGGAGGTCTTCTTGGCCGACGAGGGCGTGGCCGACGAGGGCGTCGGCCGACGAGGGCACGGCCGACGAGGGCACCCGGGTTCCTTGGACTCAGGACCATAATCCGAGTTGGCTCCTTTTCGGCCGACGGGGGCGTCTTGGCCGACGAGGGCGCCACTCTGTTGTCTTGTGCTTTCTGTTCTTCCGAGTATGTGGGTCCTGGGGCTCAGACCCATATACTCCATCACTTACATACAACATACCGATCGATAGAACCGGAAAGTGATTTCATGACCAAATCATTTCTTAATTTTTTTCTTTGTCTTTGTACATCTTGATTCATATTTTGTTTTCCAATCATCACAAAACATAAAATTTCATTCAAAATAATACTATCACTAAATATAAGTTAATGGTTCATAGATATAAATTTAATTCACTAAATTTAATCAAATATAAAAAATTATAAGTATGTTCAATATTTCGACGAATCAAAATAACAAATTACAATGTCAATTATTCAATAAGCATTCAAATATATTTAGAATACTCATTATCCTAAATCCCTAGCCCTACTGTCCTAGCCAACAAAGAAAAAAAAGGAAAAAAGAGCAAATAAGCCCACATACTAACCAAAAAGGTCAAATAAGCCCTTGTATAACAGACTTTGTCCCGCCGTCGCCATTTGGGGCAGTTCCCGGTGGAATTTTTTGATGAAATGTTTTGAGAATCTTATTCATTAAGTCTTGTTTACTTATACCAAATTTCAGCTAACAATTCAACATGGAAGACATTCAAATAAATTCTTGAAGATAACTGCGCTTTTAACTGCGCAGTTATCTTCAAGAATTCATTTGAATGTCTTCCCGATTGAACTTTTAGGTGAAATTTGGTATGAGTAAACTAGATATAATGAATAAGATTCGAAAAAAAAAATCACCAAAAAATTACAAAGGAAACTATCCCAAATGTTGACGGCCGGACAAAGTCTCCTAAATAATATTAATAAACTTATTTTATAAATTAGAGGCCCTAAAATTTGGAGACCCTAGACACTTGTCTAGGGTAACTCCCCCTATGACCGGCCCTGTATATATATACACTTCAACATATATATCAGATGTATATTTGTTCCGAAAAATAGAATATGGATATATTTTTTCTCTTTGAGGAGAAAGGAAGGAAATGGGAAATGCTCTAAGCTATGAAAAATGCCATCACATTTACAATCCTATATACGGAGCATATCATAACCAATGATGCCAAACGCACACCGAAGTAGAGCCTTTACTGGTATCATCACAGTCGCCGCTCGCAGCTCCACTTGGCCGGTCGCAAGTCGCTCCTTTACCCCGTCGCTGCATCACTGATCTCCTCCTGGATGTCTGCCCTGTTCGTCGATCGTGAGTTGAAGCGGCAGGTGCGAGTGTGAGATGCGACAGATCGAAGCCTCCATCTTTTCTGTGGCAGATGGGAGGCTCTTTCTAGCAGCCGTCCGCATAGTAGCGCATGGGAGGGGGGGTGACTGCCCACCAAACCAACCCAACCCAACCCCCTCTGCCACCACCAGCACCACTACGGCACTACCGCCGCCCCTGCCTAACCCTCTCCCTAGCCCCTTCCCACCCCCTCTCCGTCACTGCCACCCCCACATCTTGCCAGAATCCCATCCCCTTCCTCAGACCTTGCCAGAAACCCTTCCCCTCGCCCTAATTTCAGTCCCTTGTCGTAAAGCAACAACAACGATGAAGACCGTACAGTCTAGGGCTTCTGATAAGGAGTGAAATTCAGACAATGATACCATATCTTACATCACGTTGAATTTCACATTTTACCTCACCTCCCCATGTGCCACAACATAATGGCCTCCCCCGATAGACATATTGTAGAGACGACTCTTGCCCTTCTTACCCATGCCTCTATCCCTACTACATTATGGCCATCGGCAGTATGTCTTATTAACCGCCTCCCAACCCCAATTCTTGATCATAAAACTCTATATATTGAGCTTTTCAAAACACCTCCCAACTACACTAAATAATAGAGTTCAGGTTGCCTTTGCTATTCGTGGCTTCGTCCTTACACTACTCATAAAATTGAACCTAAATCTGTCTCATTTGTCTTGGTTGGTTACTCACTCAAAGTGCATATTATTGTCTTTTTTGGGGGGATGGGCGCCCCTGGGGGTAGGGAGAGGGGGTTGGGGTCCCAGAGGGAAGGGAATACTAGAACTCAAACTGCCCCCGACGGGAATTGAACTCCCGACCTCTTGGATAATCGGGTGACTCCACAATCGAAGCTAGTTGCTTCATCAAACTCCTATTGCACTATCTCTGGAACTTTGGATCGGATCTGTATTCATATTGATACATCTTCCCCTGTTATTATGCATGCATTTTTTTATGCTGACTAGGCAGGAGATAGATGACTGTCACTCTACCATGGGATATCTTGTCTGTCTTGAGAAAGAACACATCTTGTGGACTTCCACAAAACAATGTACTATTTCTAGATCATCAATAGAAGCAATTGAAATTGCAGCTATTGCTAAATGCTAATGTACTAAATCTCTCCAATAGCATATAATCGGAGATCGACCCCGGTATCCATCATTGAGCTATTGCTAATATTGCTGCTGAAATAATATGGATTATATCTCTTCTATGAGAACTATGATTTTATCTTCTTCACAAGCCCCGTCATTTATTATGATAGTTTGGGTGCCGCTTATTTAAGTACTCCCTCCGTCCCATACTCCTATACAAAGGTTCCCACTTTCTTTTTTTGAATGTTCCATATAAAGGTTTTCATTTCCATTTCAAGAAACAATTAACAAACTTAAATGACAATTTAATCATTAAATATTAAGAATATTACATTTGTAATATCACAGTTATCAACACTAATCTCATTATATTATATACTCTCTCCATCCCATTTAATGATTTTCGTCTACTATTCTCCGGTCAACATGATTTATTCTTATTCTCTTACGTTATATATTCATCTTTTATCAAATTTAATTTTTCTTGATCAGCTATTGTAAAACTTTTAATATATTTTCTGAATATGTAAATTTCAATAACTAAAAATAATCTTATTAATGACAGAGATCAATTAAATTTATGGTCAGTCAAACGTAAACCCCGTGAGAACTTTAAGTGGAACGGATGGAGTACATATTAAAATTATTTCTCAAAATATAAGTGGAGGAGGTAGTACTGGTTTTTCACTCTCATATGAAGCACTTATTAGTTCTAGACTGGCATCACTTTGAGTTAGAAACAGTCCAGAATGATTCTTTACGAGTTACTAATGATTCTTCAAATAATCAGCTAGCGGATATACTTACGAAACGAATCGATTGAGCTATCTTCCACACTTGTTCTCCAAAATTGGTCTCACCTTGAGGCAGCCCATCTTGCGGGGAGCATAATAGAATAACATTGTTTTAAGTGTACATGATTTGTTATTTCTTATATACGTATAGTTTGTTAGTTTGTTCTATAGTTAGCTACGTATTCTCCTTCTTATCTTTGTTTTAATACTATCTGATGTATATCTCTTGTATATTTAAGCCATAGTACGTGGCTTTGTGAATGTAAGCTTTACCAGTTAAATCAATCTTATTAATTACTGTTTTTACAAATTGGGTAGCCTAGCCTAAAAGAACATGTAAAACCCGATTTTATAACAGAGTACTTGGTGTTACTCACGGAAGGGTCTTATTTTTGTATTCGTAGATACTCAGGTCTTTAATTTGGATAAAAATTTTGAAAACGTGTAGGGTGTGCATCATGTGGGAACATATACGTACTTTGTGTTTTGGAAATATACTTTTTCGTGTGAAAATATAGTCAGGCCTGATTATAAAAATGAAAAAGAGATATGAGAATTGAAGTTCTCATTTTAAAATTGGTTATCTATCATGCATCCCCTCTAACATAATGGAGTACCTGAGTGCATGACTGATTCGGGGAAAAATTGTGCCCGCAGGTGACAGAGTTCAAATGCGGAGGAGTGTCCTTAGGTGTGGGAATGCAACACCATGTGGCAGACGGAGCTTCAGGCCTACACTTCATCAATACCTGGTCGGACATGGCCCGCGGCCTCGACCTCACCCTCCCACCTTTCATTGACAGGACGCTCCTCCGAGCGCGAGACCCTCCTCAGCCGCAGTTCCAGCATGTCGAGTACCAAGCGCCTCCCAGCCTTATCGACGACAGCGCCGCATTGCAGCAGGCTGCAGCTGAGCAGGTGGCAGCCGTGTCCATATTCAGACTTTCCAAAGACCAAATATGTGCTCTCAAAGGCAAATCAAAGGGAGGCAGTACTGGCGTGTATAGCTCTTACGAAATGTTGTCAGGTCATGTGTGGCGTTGCGCTTGCAAGGCACGAGGGCTGAATGAGGATCAAGAAACCAAACTGTACATAGCCACGGACGGGAGGTCGAGGCTGAGACCCCCTCTCCCGCCAGGCTATTTTGGAAACGTGATATTCACGGCCACTCCCATTGCACTCTCCGGAGATCTGCAGGCGAAGCCCGCATGGTTTGCCGCTAGCAAGATCCATGACGCGCTGAGCAGGATGGACGACAGCTACTTGAGATCGGCACTTGACTACTTGGAAGCTCAGCCCGACCTCAAGGCCCTTGTGCGTGGGGCTCACACATTTAGGTGCCCCAACCTCGGGATCACGAGCTGGGCCAGGCTGCCCATCCACGATGCCGATTTCGGGTGGGGAAGGCCGGTTTTTATGGGACCTGGTGGCATCGCATACGAAGGGCTAAGCTTCATACTCCCAAGTCCCACTAACGATGGTAGCTTATCTGTGGCTATTTCTTTACAGTCTCGTCATATGAAGCTTTTCAAAGATTTTCTGTACGATATCTGATCGCGCGAAGACATTAATTATCAGATGCATGTTCTTGCAATTCGCATGTATGTGGGGGCTGCCTATTTCCCCCTTGGACATTATGTGGATAATATATACTCCAACTCCTATGTCTGTGTGTACATAATGGACAAAAGCCCTCACCAGCACCTAGCTTACTGAGGGGGTTTCGATCAATCGATCAGTTTAGTGACTTTACCATCACATACACACTACAATTGATGCACTTCATCTCACGTCTCAACCTATTAAATCACGTATCATGTCTAAAATTAACAGCACGACTTTGTGCATAGAAAGGGCTGGGGAAAGATCATTTTGTTATAAATATTGACAATATATATGGATTGTGCGTTAATTAAGATTGGCCATGGCCGGGGAGGATCGATGTATGTACGGGATATAGTGGGATGAAATGTAGGGAATTTCCACCATCTTTCTTGGAAGTTGTCAAGAGAATTTCACACCTTCTTGGAAGGAGCTCTCCAAGATATAAACATGACAGAAGATATGACGATAACTATGGAAGCTTGAATGCAACTTTCTCTTGTCTCCAAACTAGCCTATAAATAGAGTGTTCTATTGTTGTTCATATCATCAGTTTTAGAAAGTGAGAAAAGTGTGTGAAGTGTATTGGTTAGGATTGGTTTTTTGTAATAGTTGAGTGTGAGAGTTTGCTCCTCCTATTGTAATTCTGTTCTTGATATTGAATAGAAGAATTTTCCAATTCCAACAAGTGGTATTAGAGCGAGGTTGAGTTTCCATACACTTTTTTCTCATTTTCATATAAATTTCTGTAGGTTAGAAAATCGTGATTTTTGATGTTGTTCGGAATCACGATCTGATCATACCGTTGGATTCGTCTCGTCCGGATGAGAAATCTGGTATTTTTGGGGAATTGTTTGGCCACCGGAAGAGTCCGTACGCCCCGTGCCCCCGCCCAAACGCCGCCGGAAAACTGCCTGCATCATCACTGCGTCATCACGCAGTCCAGAGGAAGAAGATGATCCACGTCAGCTGCCACGTCATCGCCACGTTGGACCACGTCAGCGACACGTGGTGCCGAGTCAGCCGCCACGTCATCCACCCGACCCGTCCGTTGTGAGCCACGTCAGACGCCACGTGGCTACACGTCATCGCCACGTCAGCGAGGGAGCAGAGCCACGTCATTCGCCTGCTGGGCTGCAGGCTGAACTGCTGCCTGAACCGGACCGAACCGGTTTGTAGTTGTGGAGGCCGGTTCACCCATTTCCAGACCGGTTTTGGACGAGGTCAGACCGGTTCCTACCGTTTTCGGCCATTACGGATCCAACGGTGAGCTCTGTTTGTCCAAATCCGGCTTCGAAAATAAGGTACAAGATATATTGAGTATTTTATTATGGATAAATCATCATCGAACACCATGATTGCACTCACTTCCACAAATTACAATATGTGGAAGCCTCAGATGGAGGATTTGCTAAATTTGAGGGATTTAGCCGATCCTCTCGATAATAATGGCGTGAAACCGGATAAAAAGACACATAAAGAATGGACAAAAATGAATCGAAAAACTGTCGCACAAATTCGATAGTGGATAGATCATAGTGTGTTCCACCATGTTGCGCAAGAACAAAGTGCTTACACACTATGGGAGAAGCTTGGTAGCATGTATCAAGCAAAAACCGCTCGAAATAAGACATTACTAATGAGGCGATTAGTAAACCACAAATTGCGAGGTGGTATTTCGGTTTCAGAACACACCAGTCAATTTCAGGATCTTGTGAATCAGTTAAACACCATCGGATGGGTTCTCAAAGATGAAGAGCATGCGATATTACTGTTGAGCTCTCTACCTGACAGCTGGGAGACTCTTGTTGTCACTCTCAGCAATTCTGCTCCCAATGACAAGGTGACTATGTAGATGGTCACAGATGCCCTTATGAATGAAGAAGCCCGAAGGAAGGAAGCCGTGACAAAACAATCATATGCCCTCATATCAAAAACTAACAGACGAGGAGGAGGCAGAAATGGGGGAAGAAGTCGGGGTCGAGGTAGAGGCCAAGGTCAAAATAGAGGAAACTCTCAAGTTCGCGGCAAATCACAAGAGAGAGGTATGTCCTTTGAAAACAATACTTGGTTTGAAGGATATTGCAATTATTGTAGTAATTATGGACATAGAAAAAGAGATTGTAGAAAGTATCTACGAGAACAGCCACAGACGAGTCAAAATACTAGCCAAGAAGATGGTGCGACCATGGTTAGTTTGTCATCAGATGTGTTACTTGTTACATATGGTGAACAAGAATGTTTACACATAGGTACTCATGATGTTGAGTGGGTGGTTGATACAGCCGCATCATTTCACGCCACTCCACACAAGAACTTATTCACATCTTATAAGTCCGGAGACTTTGAAGCTGTGAAGATGGGAAACACCAGTTTCTCAAAGATTGTTGACATTGGTGATGTGCACATAACAACCAATGTCGGATGCGCACTTGTGTTGAAAGATGTTCGACACGTTCCAGATCTTAGATTGAATCTTATCTCCGGTATAGCTTTGGATCAGCAAGGATACCTTAACCGCTTCAAAGAAGGTACGTGGAAGCTATCTAAAGGTTCCTTGATTGTTGCAAGAGGCCATATTTATGGTACTCTTTATAAAACACATGCAAAGCTATGTCATCCAAGTCTCAATGCTATTGAAGAAGAGACATCACCAAACTCGTGGCACCGGAGGTTAGGCCACTTGAGTGTGAAGGGATTGACAACTCTTGCAAAGAAGGAAGCCATTTCCTTGGGAAGAGGTGTTGCCCTAGATCCATGCGAGCACTGTCTATTTGGGAAACAACACAGAGTTTCCTTCAGTTCTACCAGGAAGAACCATTCACAGTTACTCAGTCTTGTCCACTTAGATGTATGTGGACCCATTGAAGAGGAGTCACTTGGAGGAAGCAGATATTTCATGACATTCATTGATGATGCATCACGAAAGGTATGGGCTTACTGTGTAAAGAGTAAGGATCAAGTGTTTGATCGTTTCAAATCATTTCATGCCATGGTAGAAAGAGAAACATGGAAGAAGCTGAAGTGTCTACGTTCAGACAATGGAGGAGAGTACAATTCCAGGGAATTCTCAGCATATTGCGCCGCATATGGAATCATACATGAGAAGACGGTTCCACGAACTCCACAACACAATGGTGTAGCCGAAAGAATGAACAGAACCATTGTGGAGAAAGTTCGTTGCATGTTGAGTATGGCTAAACTACCGAAGCCATTATGGGGTGAAGCTGTGCTGACAACTTGTTATCTTATAAACATGTCACCTTCTGTTCCATTAAACTTTGAAGTGCCAGAGAAGAAATGGTCAGAAAGAGATGTTTCTTACTCTCACTTGAAAGTGTTCGGGTGAAAGGCATTTGCACATGTGTCCAAGGAGTTGAGACAGATGCTTGATCTCAAATCAAACCCATGCATTTTCATCGGCTATGGAGATGAAGAATTCGGATACCGGTTGTGGGATCCCGAAGTGAATAAAGTTATACGAAACAGAGATGTTGTATTTCATGAAAACGAGTTTCATGAGTGTGCTCCAATAATCCACAAACAACATACTCCAGAAGACGAAGTCCCTGTATCATCAAACATTCCTCTCAGCGACGAGGAGATGTATGATACTACTGAGCAAGAGAGTGATGGTTCAGTAGGTGATGATGATGCTCACTGTGATGATATTCCTCAGCAGGGGGAGCCTTCATCTGAAGACGAAGCTGAAGGTACTCGTGTTCGACGTTCTATGCGAGGCATAGTTCCACAGCGAAAGTATTCCACATCCGAATGGATACTTGTTGCCAGCGAGGGGGAGCCAGCAAGCGTCACAGGAATGATAGAAACAAAGAAAAAGGTGGAGGGGGAGATTTGTAGGGAATTTCCACCTTCTTTCTTGGAAGTTGCCAAGAGGCATCTCACACCTTCTTGGAAGGAGCTCTCCAACATATGAACATGAGAGAAGATATGGAGATAACTATGGAAACTTGAATGCAACTTCCTCTTGTCTCCAAACTAGCCTATAAATAGAGTGTTCTATTGTTGTTCATATCATCAGTTTTAGAAAGTGAGAAAAGTGTGTGAAGAGTGAAATACACTTAGAGTAGAAGTGTATTGGTGAGGATTGGTTTTTTCTAATAATTGAGTGTGAGAGTTTTCTCCTCCTATTGTAATTCTGTTCTTGATATTGAATAAAAGAATTTTCCAATCCCAACATCAAACCCAGGGTAATTTAATTCTTTTTCAATTGTGTGTGTGTAATTTTTTCATTTTTCATAATTAGCCCACCCGCAAATATTTAAACCTGGACAATTAGTTTTCAGCCTAGTCTAACCCATATTCCGGGATTCACCCTTGGGCATGCTGCTAAACATGAGGACATTTCTAGAGAAACTTTGGCCTTAAAATAATTTGGCACACTTTGGACATAGCATTGTATTGGTATTTTTACTGTTCCCAGAATGGCAGAATGTATTCGAATTACATGTATATTACTATGGAGTTCAGCTTAGACGTTCGATTTTGACCTAAAATCAAAAGCCGAACCAAAGTAAAAAGTTTTATTCACTTTTATTTTTCAACTAGTTGTTTGACGTGCGTTGTGCGTCGGAAGATGCCCAATATCATTTTGACATCATACGATAGTATATAATATTAAGACTGTGTTTGCACAAAAAAGTAGTTTTAGGTTGGAGATTACACGGTATCAAATGGGTTAATGTGTCAAAATGATTGAGAAGAGTTCTACATGGATTGTTGTTAGTATTTTACATGGGGATATATTGACTAAAAATGTGAGGTACATTGTTGTTGAAAATAATAGAAAAATGATTGTCAACTTGCCATATCTTGAGTGTTACAAAGCAAGAAAGTCTCAAAATGTTACAATTATATTCAAATTTTACATCGTAGTGACCATACAAGTATACCCATAATAATTTTAATTTACAAAAACCACCTTTTGCAATAAAGAGATGAAATATCTAAAAGAAGAAATGAGCTTTATAAGTAAAAATAATGACTACCATGTTACTAAAAAAAAGGTAGAGATAAAAATGTGTCCTTAATGCAAAGTGACTTTATTTTTTGAAAATAGTTTATTCATTAGATAATTGACTGTCCAAAACATGGCATCAAATATTTATACTCCTTATTTTAATATTTGTTTGGTTTGCATAAAACTCTTACAACTTATTCTTTTTGGGATGTTCCAAAAAAATTCTTCTCATTTCCCTTTTTGGAAAGTTTTGTGTGGCTAATAACACTCATTTACTTTTTTTTCTCAACCACAACCATACATTTTTACTTTGTTCTCATTTTCGTAAACTCCAATCCAAGTCAATTTGGAAAGAATTTTATGGAACAGAGAGAGAAACTTATTAGTTTTTTTAACCGACTTTGACTTATTAGGTTGTGCCCTATAGATTATAGAATTCCATAGAATTTATTGTGTATTTTAAAGTATAAATAAGGTATTTTTGTACATGATAATGCTAATTTGACATATTATATGTTTAGAACACTAGTCATTCTGTGTGAGATTTTTAGTACGTGAATACAGAGTAAAGAGGCCAACATATTCCGTACCAACAAACTATTACTATGCATTTAGTTGTAAAATCCGAAAAAACTGATGTTTAGTACTAGTAATTTATTTTTCACTTCAAGAGGTTTTAGATATTGTGCACTTTTTTGCAACTCTACTTGCTGTGAGATCTGTGTGGCGATTATA